AAATCCACCTTGAAACCCTCGTGAGTTATTCAACCATAAACATTCATCATTATGAATGTCGATTGAATGTGAATTTGAGGTGTTGAAGAAAATATTTCCAATTTTACAAACTTCGACATAGCCTACACTTGAATTAAAACTCAAAATAAAATCATCATTGCTTGTTATATTTTACACAATCATTTGATGGGTGGAGACACCAATCAAACTCTAATAGCTGAGGTGCAAGACGAGCTTACAAATAAAAAAGATTTTCAAGAGGGTCACAAAGATCAAAGAGAAAACAATGACAATATAATTAGTGGAAAGCCAAATAGAGATAATATTGCTAGTTTTATATGACTAGATTATTAAAATTATCATTAATGAGTTGTTACTCTTATGAACGATGTTTTGAAGAATTTTATTTTGATTTAAATTTGTAATTTTTGAATTAAATTTTTTATTTGTAATTTGTGGATTGAATTTTAGTGTTTTAAATCTTTACATTTTAATTCATGCATAAGTTGTTATGTTTTTCATTAGGTTTTTCAATAGTAGACATGGAAGCAAGTTTGAAGAATCGAGAATACTCAAAAGTTTAGAAACATGCAATTGGATAACTGTTATGTATGATGTTTTGCTTAATACATATTTGCATCAACAAACATTGGGAGATAAAATTGACAATAGTACGACAAAAAACGTTATGGATAGCATTCTTAATGAATTGAAGATTTATTTTTCAGACAAATCAATTTTTAAAGAAAAGATAAAAGATCACATGAAGTACATTCAAATAAAGTTTAATTCTTATTACGATCTTTTCCAAAATGGCTTGAGTGATTTTGGATGAGTCTTGTTCTGGCCTGGGCCCCGGGCTGACCATGCGAGCCCAACCCAATAATGTTCCACCAGGCCCTATCCAGTCCGAGTATCGCGTCGGGCACGAGGTCCCCGACAAGCAAGAAAGGTCTCCCTGCGAGGAAGACCTGTCCCCACTACGTCGGGCAGGAGACTCACTCGCTCGACCAAGCACCGCCCTCCGCGGGCAAGACCTGTCCCCCGCGGGCGCCCCCCGGTCTCCTGTCGGGCAGGATAACGTGTCCTTCACACGTTCTCCACGTGCTCCCCCTTCGCGGGGACACGTCACCAACCAACTACCCACCTCCGTAAGAGTAGGCCAAACCCACTTCCCGGAGATCAAGGGGCAGTTGGACTAGGGCGAAGACCACGTCCTGGTCTTCACTACGCCACGTAAGCCCTAGCAGTCACTTGGGTTGGGCCTGGCAATCCAGCCCAACGCAAGTGACAGTTGGCCCAGCGCTGGGGTCTCTCTATAAATACCCTCTTCCACAAGAGGGTCAGGTAATTCACTTCTTACCCCATTTCTGTACTTTGCTCTCACTCTGCCCAATTCCTTACTTTGGCATCGGAGTGTCTTGCAGGCACACCCCCTTCTCCTCCTCATCACCGGTTAACAGATAGCAATCCAACACAGTGTGGCCAGCCCGTGATCCCCTTCTGATCAGGTCAGATCAGTGGCGCCGTCTGTGGGAACGAAAACTTCCCCGTTACTCCAAGCAGAGAACCAAAGTTTCACCAACACTCCACGATCATGGCTAGACCACACCACGAAGATACCGTGCACGACTTTGTGCTCAACACCGCCGCCAACGGCAGCAAGCAGACGGAGACTTCACGCCCAGCGGAGACCGACGAGAGAGACGGCCAGACTGCATCTCCGTCGTCCGCAGAACCGACACACTAGGCTGACTGCCGGCCCCAGAGCCCAGCGGCGTTCCAACCCGTTCCCGTCCCGGCGGGAGCGGACCCAACAGTGGCCCCCCTCTTTGCGACCATCAACCAGACGAACCAGCTATTGTTTCAGCAGAACGCTCGAATTGGAGCGCTAGAGCGGGAGGTCCCCCCCGAGGTCCCCTCCGCGAGAAGACCAGATTGGGGGCTCGAGGAGTCCCTCGCCTCAACCCAGAAATCGACGACCTCGGATGGAGAGACCCCGAACAGAAGTAGTACGTGAGCGCACCAGATCCCCGACGAGACAAGTTCGCGGGAGACGGCAGAATGCGGCAGCAATCCCGACCAGGCCTCCGCGCGTCGAACCCCCGGTCAGAAGGCCGAGGACCCGAAACCAGGTGCCTATACTAAACGACCCATTTCCCCCTCGGTCACCCGCTCTCAGCGACGAAGATGACTACAAGACTCCCTTGTCCAGGGAAATCATGGCCGCCCCCATCCCCCACGGGATGGAGAAGCCCCCGACGCTCTCGACGTACGACGGTACCTCCGACCCGGACGATCACCTGGAAGACATTGAGGCCATGCTCGATTACAGAAACGTCCGAGGAGCTATCAAGTGCAGGCTATTCCCGACGACCCTAAGGAAAGGCGCCATGACATGGTACAAAAGTCTGGAGCCCGAATCGATTACGTCGTGGAGGATCCTGAAGGACCTGTTTTCAAAACACTTCACAGCGTCCCGACGCCACCCGAAGACAGAAGCCGCCCTCGACGCGATAATCCAAGTCCCCGACGAGCCTCTCCGAAAGTACATTGAAAGATTCACGCGGGAAGTAGTGCAGGTAACGACGTCAGACGAGATGAAATGTTACCTAATGGAGCAGGGTCTACGCCGCGACTCCAAGTTCTACGAGGCCGTGGGCATACACCGACCAGCTTCCCTGCAGGATTTCCTCGACAGAGCCGCGCATTATATCCGGTTCGAGGAAACCCAAGCAACCAACTCCGCTCGAGACATTTGAGACAGAGAGGCCCCCCGCGGGCACCGAGATGACGGAGCCTCAAGCCAGCGGCGGGGAGGTGACCGCCATCGGGAAGATTGCCCCCGCGAACAATGCGAACAGCGCGGCCCCGCCGGCCGATTCACAGAATACACGACCTTAGTCACTTCCTGCGAGCGCATATTGGCCGAGTGCGCCAAAACCGAATTTGCCCAGGGAGGGGTCCGCTTCCCCAGGCCGACGCCCCCAAACCCAATGTGGACAAGTCGAAATACTGCCGATTCCACAAGAGCCACGGGCATGTGACGGAAGACTGCATCCATCTCAAGGACGCGATCGAAATCCTGATTAAGGATGACCACCTAAAGAGATACACCGGGGGGGGGTGGGGTGAGGCCCCGAGGCAAGAAGCCCCCGAGGCCAAGAAAGTCGAAGAGCTCCCCTCTTCCGGCGGCGACAACGGACTTCAGGTCGCACTGTGCGTCAGCCGCCCCGAGGACTGGTTCGCGAACAGAGAGTTCGGCCTCCCCCACGGCCCCGACCTACCCGCCGAGCCAGTACGTCCAACCAGCCGGTGGGAATACTTTGCTAGAGCTATGGTCATCTCGGGCGGCGCCACAAGGAACCTGTCCATAGGATCGGTGAAAAGAAAATTCGACGAGCTTATCACAAGCAACTCCGGTAAGATGAACACGCTCGAAAGATTTCGCGGTCGATCCAATCCGATCACATTCTACCTCGAGGAACTCCCCGGGGGATCCCCCAACTCCAACATCCCCCTGCTGATACGGGCGCGGATGGCAAACTTCGACGTCAGACGCATCCTCGTTGACGGAGGCAACTCGGTGGACATCATGTACACCCACCTCTGTCCATTCGAACGCGGTCTCCTTCCTGAGTAGTTTGAAAAGGGGGAGGGCGTGCTGTGCAGATTTGACGATAAACCAGGAAAGTGAGGCGAGCATGCCGTTGAGGGATTGGATGAACTTCTTTGTGGTGGGGGTGGTGATTTCCGAAAAGGCGTGGCACTTGTCCGGATTCGCCTCGATCCCACGCTCGGTCAGGTAGTAGCCGAGGAATTTTCCTGCGCGGACGCCGAAGGTGCATTTCTCCGGGTTGAAGCGCATTCGGCAGTTCCTCGCTGTGTCGAAGAGGGTCAGGTAATTCACTTCTTACCCCATTTCTGTACTTTGCTCTCACTCTGCCCAATTCCTTTTACTTTGACATCGGAGTGTCTTGCAGGTACACCCCCTTCTCCTCCTCATCACCGATGAACAGATAACAATCCAACACAGTGTGGCCAACCCGTGATCCCCTTCTGATCAGGTCAGATCAAGACTCAACTACAAATATATGAAATGTTAAAGATAAAGTTTGTAACAAACTAATTTAAATCTTATTTACTATAATTATATTAGACCTTTATCATATTAATTTTATTTGAGTTCACTCATAAAAAAAAAATTATGTGATGCTTTGTTTATTTTTTACCCAAAATAATTGCTATCAACTAATGCACAAATATCATGATTCTCTAGTATGATATATAAAAAATATTTAATGCACAACAAAAATATAAAACTAGTTCTTAAAAAATTTAATATTATTGAATATTAAAAGACACTCTTACTATTTCATTCAAAATATTTTTGAATAATAATAATAATAATAATAATAAAATATACCTTTTAAATAGGAGTAGATTTATATAGAATGTCCCGATAGTTCACTTATATTTAAAAAGAGTGACAATGTAGATTTCATTTTGAATTTCATATAGCTTTCATGTTTTTAGTTCTGGCTGGCTCTCCCACCTTCGCGGCAATTTCCTCTTCTTTTCTTCTATTCACAAATAATTAAATAAATTAACTTAAAAGAAAAAACAAATATTTATATTAAAAATTCGTTTTTGTTTTGAATTTTTCTTCTTGTTATTAGTAGTATTATTTTTTTCTTTCATTCTTTTTTACCAGAAACCGAGATTCAAAGAGAAAAAAAAATAACAAAACACACAACATAGCAAAAGAGAGCGAAATGAAATGATTGAGAAGAGATCCAATAATATAAAGAAACCATTTCCAAAACGCATCGTTTCGCATCGGAATATCATCTTCCCCGACGATCCTCCGGTCACAGTCGCCGACTCTTCTCCGGTCGGCTTAACGACTATCTATAGATTCTGATTTCGTTCGATCTTTTGGAAGCATCGATCTAGGATCTTGGAGCTGTTTCCAGATCTGAGAATTTTGAGCGAAAACGATGCCGTCTCACGCGGATCTGGATCGGCAGATCGAGCATCTGATGGAGTGCAAGCCTCTACCGGAGGCAGATGTGAAGGCGCTTTGCGATCAGGCGAGGGCGATTCTGGTTGAAGAGTGGAACGTTCAACCGGTGAAGTGTCCGGTTACGGTTTGCGGTGATATTCACGGTCAGTTTTATGATCTCATCGAGCTTTTTCGGATAGGAGGAAACGCGCCTGATACTAATTATCTCTTTATGGGAGATTATGTAGGTTAGTTTCGCTTGTTCACATCCTTTTCTCTCTAATTTTTGTCTATTATTGGTTTTATGAGATGAGTTTGATGTATATACGGTTTTATATTTGGTTTTGTTAAGATTTTGTTCTTGAGATCAATTATTGGTGGTGTGTTGTAATTTGAGTTTATTTTTATTGGTTTTTGATGATTGCGAGGTGTTGGATTTGATGTTAGAATATTGGTATTTTTGATTTATTTCTTGATTTCCGTTTTTGGAAAGCATTTTGTTTATGATGTTTTCCGAAAAATGGAAACTACTTGTTTTTAGAGGATTATATTTTGTTTGACAAATTGGAGTGATTGTCTAAAATTGTTATATTTGCTGTGTAGCTATTGATATGGTTTCAGCTGGTTAGAATTGATATTTACATCGCTTAGTAGTTAGTTTTATAGGGGTGTTGCACTAGTTTGTTTGGAAAAAGTAAAACTCATCTTCGTCCCGTATCTTTTGTCTGGGCTTTATATTGTATTATTAACTGCATGAAAAATCTTTACCGTATCTTGATTGTATCTTTGTCATGGCTTCATATTGTATTATAACTTACAGTATTGCTATAACTGTTGAAATCTAAATTAGCCTCATTTTTTCAGCTCCTTGTTTTAGTTATGTGCTATTTGTTTAAAGAAGCATTGTTTGGTGAAACTTGCCTTTTTGATTTTCTTGGCATCCTCCTTCTTCTCTGCTGGAATGATTGTTATCCATGTAAGATAGAATTTTTGCTTTGGAATTGGACATGCAATTCATGTTTATGGGAGCATGGTTACTATCACACCTTGGGAGTTAGGGTGGGGAAGGTGTGCAACACAATTAAGAACTGTGGAGACATAAGTGTGAGCCAAAAAGTTGAATAAATGTAAACAATCTTGCTATTTGTGAACTTGTGATTTTCTTAAATATTTTAAGCTCGTGAGTTATAAGAGTGATGAGTGATAACAGAAGGGAAATATTGTTCATTGAACTGTTGATGGACAATGAACATGAAACTTCTATGAGAGAATTTTATAGGATAAATGTCAGAGTGAAGTTAAGTTTCCTAATATCGATTGTCATTGTGTCTATACTGCTGATAGCATAAAAAAGACATAAGTGATTGCTCTGTCTGCACTGAGGTATAATATATTAGTTTTATTATAATGTGCTGTTTTGAGGGAAGGTAATGAAATTAAACTTCAATATCTGAGTATGTTACAAGATTCAAATTTAATAAGGTGCCAACTTTGGCCATAGTCATCCTTTTATTGGTATACTCCTTTTAATTATGTTCTGATTAGAGTATTTGCATCTGCGGGAACCACTACAATCTTGTAATAATGCTGGCTAAATTTATGCAGATCGTGGGTACTATTCAGTGGAGACTGTTTCCCTTTTGGTGGCACTGAAAGTACGTTATAGAGATAGAATTACAATTCTCAGGGGAAATCATGAGACCCGTCAAATTACTCAAGTGTAAGAACACTTTCTTCTCGAATTATTCAATGATATATGTGGATGTAAAAATTATCATGTTTAAGCTGAAGTCTCAATGGATCTAAAACAATTAAAATGGACCTAAAAAAAGCTGAAATTTCATGATAATAGCTGCTTGAAATTTAAGAGTAAGTTAATGATGAGCATCTCCAATTTCTCTATTCATTGGGTCGGTGTTATAGAACTTTGCCCATCATTTGCTTCATCTATCTCGTTGCAAAATTCAATGGGGTTTAGGTTAGGAGCCACAACTTGATTATTGTAATCATAGTATGACATTCTTATTTTTCTATATCTTTCTCACTATTCTAAGTGATGCTGTGGATTTAGTTTTAGTCAATTTTTACACTTTAGTGAAAGAGTTGTTAAGTGTGTAGTGACTATACTCCAATGGCACCATGGGGTGCATAAGCGAAACATTACATCTAGGTTGTACTGTGTATGAGTGAATGTGCTATGTGTAGAGTGTAGATGTGAATTGTGTGATTTATGTTTGTGAATGCCAATTTATTATTGGTTTGGGAGGATATAAATTTGTAAAAGATGAACACTTAATCTTTGAACAGAAGAAACATGAAAAGAGTTTTCTTTTTAAATTTTAAAGTTGTTTATTTGTTTTCTTACCATTTCAATCATATCCTTCCCCTGCTTTCAGGTATGGCTTCTACGATGAATGCTTAAGAAAGTATGGAAATGCCAATGTCTGGAAATTCTTTACTGACTTGTTTGATTATTTACCTCTGACCGCCCTCATTGAGAGTCAGGTTTGAGCTTAAACATGATCAAAAATGTTTCTCTGACTTCTTTTAACCAGTGTCTAACATCCATTTTCATTGTAGATTTTCTGTTTGCATGGAGGTCTCTCACCATCTTTGGATACACTGGATAATATCCGCGCCTTGGATCGCATACAGGAGGTTTGTGTGTTACTAAATGGATATTGTAACTGGCAAGAGCTTACAATTCTAATTATTAAAAACATTTTATGCAACGCATGCTTGAGTTAAAGATATCCCCTCCCCCCTAATGCATGGCATGAGAAGTAATATATAATGGATATTTTAACTCGCAAGATTTTAAAATTCTAATTATCTTGGTACTAAGAACATTTTATGCAAAACATGCTCGAGTTAAAGATATCTCCCCTAAAGCATGGTATGAGAACTTCTCATTTTTCTTTCTTTTTGATGGAATCAACTATTAAGTATTTGTTTCAGTCTTGCCAGTTGCTCTGGCTCTTTGGATGTCTCATCTTTCGACCAACTAGAATTTCATTTCTGTATGTTTAAAACCATGCTGTAGAGGTTAACTGGATATCTTGCTTGACAAGTGAGAAACTGTGTTTGTGCAATATAGGTTCCGCATGAAGGACCGATGTGTGATCTCTTGTGGTCTGATCCCGATGATCGTTGTGGTTGGGGAATATCTCCACGCGGTGCTGGATATACATTTGGACAGGATATAGCTGCCCAGTTCAATCATACAAATGGTCTCTCACTGATATCTAGAGCTCATCAGCTTGTGATGGAAGGATACAATTGGTGCCAGGTGACTGACCTAACATTCAAAGGATACCTGTTTTTAGGATAACTCCTATTAAACTCTATGTATTGACTGTTGCATTGTTACTCTTTTAGGAGAAGAATGTGGTGACTGTTTTTAGTGCTCCAAATTACTGCTACCGATGTGGGAATATGGCTGCAATTCTGGAAATTGGGGAGAATATGGATCAGAATTTTCTGCAGTTTGATCCAGCTCCGAGACAAATTGAGCCTGACACCACACGAAAGACACCAGATTATTTTTTGTAACTTCATGTCTCTGTATGTAGTTACTTCGTTATGCTGTTACTGTAGATTTGTCTTTAAGAAAAAAGAGGAGTTGAAGTGGTGGAGGGTTATCATCAACAACATAATTCTTTCTTTTTGGAGTTTGTCTGCTGCTGCTGCTGTCTTATTTGAACAAGAAACCAATAGAATTGACACAATTGGTATTGTATATTTTTGATAGGAGGAAGCGGCAATAACATGGTATATCTTGTGCTGTAATTTTTTGTTTTTGTTTTTAATTAAATCTCAAAGTTAGAGAGCTGATTTTTGAGTTGTGATAGTGTTCATGGTGACAAATGCAGGTTTTAATTTATTTAGTTGAGTGATATTATGATATGGGTAGGGTTGGTGGAACTGGAAAATTGCGACTCCTGGTATATAGAATTACTTTTTTTTTTTTAATTAAAAAAATAGTTGTCTTCATAAGAAATGCAGTACCACTTTCTTTTTGTGTACTTTTTAAAAGAATTTGTGAAGAAAATCACGAAGAAAATTAAAATAAGAAAAAAATAGAAACTAGATACTGTCTAGTGGCTTGTTTTAAAATATTTATAAAAATCACACTTCGAAATTAATACTCTTAAACCCAAATTCAAAATACATCAAAAGATTGTTTTAGCAGATTAAACACTACATTTTAAATCCAGAATCCCCCAAACTAAATACACTCCATAAACACCTTAAGCATAACTGAATCAAAAAACTAATGCAACTTATCAAATAATTCAAAACATCCTTAATTAAACAATTACATTCATAAATAAACCTACATTTCAATTTTTAGGTTCAATTTTGACATACTTGTTTGGTTTAATTCTTGGAAGTTGAGTTTCTCTCGAGACTTCAAATCAACATTTTCTAGCCATATACTGTACAATCAATTTATTGTAAAGATAATTTACTTATTGCTCAAAAATATATATATTCTTTATTGATAACAACCTTTTGGTTGAGACTAATTCTGAAAATATGAATGAATTAATGTAACCTTTAAAGACATAAAAACAGTCTACAATATATTATCAACAAAATATTGACATAACTACTTCATCAATGTTTAAGTCATTCTTAATTTACTTAATAAACTTACCCTCCATTGACATCTCGTGCACATAAACTTGATTGAAAGTTGGTTGAACCATAACTCTATATGTCATTACTCTTACTTTGATGACACTCGAGACATGAAGAACAAGCCTTAAGCCTTCGTGTTTCTTTTGAGTCATTGACATCTTCATCTTTGATAGCATCGCCGGGTCATTTTTATGCATGATAAATATACATCTAAAATTTCTAATAAAAATTTAATTGAAATCTACTGTCAGTAAAAGAATTTTACACTCTTTTACACTGTCAGTTAATCATAACCATTGAATTTTTAGAAGAATTTAATTTTTATTTTAATCACTTATAAAGTAAAGCAAACGGATGATAATAATGAATCGGCGGTGTAAAACTTTTTACAATCAAGTGTATAATAATTAATCTCTTCTAATAAACACCATAATTTCAAAAATATTTAAATCTTTTTCTTTATAAATACCGTTTTACAAAAAGGAAAAAACACTTAAATTCATATTCAATGTTCAATGTTCAGAAATGAGAATATAAAATGTTTATCAAATGCTAATAAATAAGAAGAATTGATAAGATGGAAGGAGAAGAAGTATTAAAATGGAAAACGTAAAAGTAAAATGGAAGGATGAAAAATAAGGTATGTACCACTTGAGATTCAAAAAATGATTTTGAAAAAAAGAAGAAAGAAAAATGATGAGTCTTGGAAGAAGCAAGAAGACGAGGTAAATAGTAAAAACCACCTATTAAAAATAAAATATCTACCTAATAAAAAAGAAAAAGAAGAATTGCGTTGAAAGAAATAAATAAAGAAGTGTTAAATTGAAAAAATATGTAAAGATCATTTTTAGTGGAAGTATTTTAAGTAGGTAAACTAAAATATTTTTTGTGGGATTAAAGTGATTTGTAGGATTTAAAAAATTTATAGTTGACTTGAGTTGTTTTTATTTTAATGATACTTGCTTATAAAAAACTAAAACTTGACGCGTTATTTTATATTTTTTAATTGTAATTATTTTTTTTTACTGAAGTTACCATTAATTTAATTATTTTAAATAAAATATTAATTGCAAATTTTTTGTGGGTCCAAATTATATAGCATACGTTAGCTATATAATTGTCGGAAACTAAAAGTTGGCGAATTAAATGCCATATCATAGTTTTTCCAATGCAAATTCTTTATAATCATCGTTAACTATAAAAAATTTAACTATTAAAAACATGTATTAAAGATGCTCTAAGTGACTTATCAATTCTGTGTAGGAATGTCAATTTGCATCTATTATTGGGGATCTCTGTGTCGGAGTTTCGAAGTCGGAGTTTTCTTCGGGAAAGTACCTTCTACGCCGCGAATTCCTCGAATCCGACCATATTATTAATTATTCTTTTTATATTTATAATATATAAAATATAATAATTATGTAACTATATATTTTTTTAATAAAAAAGTTATTATATTATTGAGAAATAAAGAGTCATCCAATTCAGTTATAATTTTTGTTGAGTGATTGCTTTAATATTTTAAATTCACATCCAATTCTATTTTGCTATTCATTGTGAGATCTTTATTAGTATTTTATTTTGGATATTTGACAATTTCAATTTGCTATTTTTTCTATGCATTATGAGATTATGCATGACAACAAGAAAAATAATTAGCAACTACAATTGCTTTTACATTTTTTTGTTATTGATGCAATATGTTTTTTTTTTTTAATTCTTAAAATAATAAATATGCAAATATATATATATATATATATATATATATATATATATATATATATATATATATATATATATATATATATATATATATATATATATATATATATATATATATATATATATATATATATATATATATATATATATATATATATATATATATATATATATATATATATATATTAAAAAAACAATGAAATGCTAATGTCACAATTTTGATCGAAAAAAAAAATTAAGATTTGAAATTTGTGGATCTCCGTGGATACCGTGGGGATGGAGAAAAATATTCCCCCGTAGCGGGGATCAGGGATGAGGATGGAGAAAAAATTGAGGGATGGGGCGGGGAACGAGGAAGCATCCTCCGCACATTCTCTGCCTCGTTGACACCCCTAATCATGTGGAATATTGACGTATATCAAGAGAATATCGTTGCATGGAGGTTGACCATCCTCCGTCTCACAATGAATGATCTAGTTGATTTTTTTATGCAGATTAAGAAAAAGAAATAAATGAAGGAGAGATAATGATTTTTTTACTAAAGTATCCTTATCATGTATTAAAAATGATGAAAGTGATACGCCCTCCGATCTCATATATAAGCAATTTTACAAAAAAACTCATCCTTTAAGAAAAATATCAAAATACATTTAAGTCTTACATTCTTTCTAATTTTATCCCTACTTTTTGTCTTGAAAATCGTTAAAAACATAGAAATGTGAAAAAAAAGTAGGGGTAGTTTTGAAAAAATGATGTTCAATGTAATAATTATAGATGATATTTGCTTATATTTAAGACCTTTAAATTTTTTATTTTTTTGCTTATATTCGAGACAAGGGGAGTATTAACTAGAAGGTAAAATTAGAAGAATTTATTCGATTTTCCGTCATCCATGCATTCATCATCATCGAACCTAAGTCTCTTCCAATGAAAATAGAGTGTTGTCTTTAAATCTGTGTTCCAAAACCATGATGCTCTGACCAAATATTGTTTGTATCTCATTATGTTGGTTTTAAATCATGTGGTTCACAGAGTCGCAGTCTCTACACAAATCCCCTTTACTATTTCCCAATCAAAATTTCAAAGAAGCATGTGCCAACTTAACTCTGTTAGTAGTTCTATTTTCAATGTGTCTAACATTATCGATCCACGCACAAACTATCTTCTCCTTCACCTGATCAAGAATTGTGGTTTCAACATACTTTAACAAATCTGGATACTTTTCCCACACTTTTCAGAAATGAATAATGGAATCGACATATAATTCCTTTGTGGAAGAATTTATTATACGATTCCATGCATCCATAATTTTTTCCAAAATCACACCCGACTTCACCAATTTTCCACCTTCAGATGCTTTTTGTTTCGTCCCTACCACAGGTTTAACACGACTTCTCACATTCTTTGTTATGTGATACTTACAAAGTAATGCATTAGAAGAAGGAAATATCTTTGAAACCGAATTTATCATTATGGTATCACGATCGATAATAATCGTTTTAGGCATCTCACATTGGACCTTCAAAAGTGACCGACACACCTCTAATGCCCAAGTAAATTTGTCCTCTTTTTCACACTCAAGAAACACAAAAAACCAACAGAATATGTATTCTCAGTTGAGGTAACACCAATCATCTCAAATAATGGAAATATATACTTGTTGGTCTTGTATGTTGAATCAAGTATAAGCACTGTAGGAAACATTTTGAACAACTTTATGGAATCAGGATGAGTCCAAAAAATATCTCTAATCGTAACTCCATCATCGTATGTTCAGTACTGAAATAGGTAATTGTTATTATCTAACAGTTTCAAGAGTTGTTGTCTCTCAGTTTTATCCTTCCTAATCGCCTTGTTGTGAGGTAGCGAATGTTGTACACTTGCTTAATATTTGATATATTATCGGGTCGCTTCCATTTCAATGTTGCAAGAATATTTTTCGGATGAACAAGATTCAAGGTCATGTTACTAATACAATCATTCTCTTCCGCCTTGACCCGACATACACTAGGATGGCTGACTAATTTTAAACACAAATCATGGTTATGAAAACCACATATCGTATTAAATCTCCAACTTTTGTTTGCCAACATGTAACCACGAACCTTAAACAAACACTCACATTTTCTATTACCAATGTCGTCTCTTTTAAAATTCCAGAGAGGAGTTCAATATCTCCCGCTTCT